ATTGCCACTCAAAAACAAGATGCAAAATTTCAGAACTCTCCAATATGCAAATTCATCATATCTAAAAATTTTGAATAAAAATCTCTAATTCTTTGCAGATTTGGCTAGAATTACATCTACTTTAAGATAATGTAAAAATTTTATAGGTTATAATACAAAAATGTTTTTGAAAAATTGATAAAAAATATTTAAACATACAAATTTTAAAAATAAATCATAAAAAATGTGCAAATTATATTTGGATTAAGCATAAATTTTGAATTCTGGAAAAAGGAATCAAGTAAGTTTAATAAAAAAAACAGAGATTAATAAATATCCAATTCAATTAACATTGAGGAGCTAATTTTTCAAAAACTACTCGTACAATTTTTATAAAACCTGGCAGTTTGGCATAATTTGAGTCATAGAATCGAAATATGGAAAAAATTTGGCATGCCATTTCAGAAAAAGTCTTATTTTGTGTCAAAATACCTATATTAGGACAGTTTGTTTCACAAGAAAATAGTAAAGTTAAATTAAATTTAAATAATTCTCTTCACATTGTTGCAATTTCTTGTGAAACAATTTTATTAGTACTTAGCAGCTTTTAGCGCTAATTACCTTGTTTGATTTCACTTTTTTCAAATGTAACTTAGTTCATATAGTTAGTTTTTTTATATATATTAGGACTGGCATACAGGTTTCATACAAGTACATAGCAATATAAAACTAATGTATGTTCAAATGTACAGATATGCACATAGCACTAAATATGATACATACTAAAAACTTGAAAACATTGCTTCACATCATTCCCTGATTCTCTCAGCCAGTAAATGATATTTTTCAGATTAACCTGTTTTAGATTTTCAGTACCTATTTTATTATTTTCTAAATCTTGTAATAAATATTTCAAGAGCCTGCATTAGTAGTTTCATCGTAGGTTTTATAAAATGGCTAGGTCCAAAGGCTGAAGTAGGGGTGTAATTTTAGGGGATAAAAAAGTAGCCCAGATATTTTCACTAATCAGCTGTAGTTCATTAGGATGACTAGGAGTATTGTCCAAAATTAAGACTGCCTTATGGGGCAAATTAATTTTATCAGAAAAATTACTTAACACTTAGAACAAACTCTTCATGGAACCAGAACTTAAATTAAGACACAATAACATGCCGAACAAATACTAATTCAGAAGTCAAACAACAAAAATCTGCGTTATATTTTTAAATTTTCACAGGACTAGTTTTGATGGTTTTACTGAACCACCATCCTCAGCTGCAAAAGCACAAATGAATGAGATAGGATATAATGATTAGATAAGATAAGAAAGCCTGGACAGAAAATAAGCTAGTGGCACCATCTGTTGATGAAACCAGAACTAAAACATAATTTTCTTTAAAGGCCAAAGGCAAAGATGGATTGGAATTAGGATCATTAACTAGAACATAAAGATTTCTTTGAATGTGAAATGTTTCTAGAAAATCCAGTTCTCCAATGAAAGATGTTTTCTGAATCTTTCTGTTCTAGTTAACGATCCTATTCCAATCCATCTTTGCCTTCGGCCTTTAAAGAAATTATGTTTTAGTTCTTGTGTTTCATCAACAGATGGCACGACTAGCGTATTGTCTGTCTAGGCTTTCTTATCTAATCAGTATATCCCATCTCGTTCATTTGCGCTTTTGCAGCTGAGGATGGTGGTTCGGTAGAAAATGTAATGCTGATTTTTGTTGTTTGATTTCTGAATTAGTATTTGTTCGGCGTGTTATTGTGTCCTAATTATAGAAGCCCCAAGCAGGCTTATTTCTTGCTTTCTTTTTTCTACGTGGTTTTCATCATCTTGCGTTTGTACGTGTTTCAGAGCCGAAAACGGCTTATTTTTCGCTTCCTTTTTTGCACGTGGTGTGGCCGCCATTTTCTGATTGCATGGGTTTCGGTAAGTACTCTTGCAATTTTGCAGTTCTGTTTGTGTTTCGCATATTTGGATATTGTGCTTTGCTTGTCTGATTTCATGCATTTTGGTTGCAAATGTTTTGTTTTCTAATCGTTTCAGTCTGGGATTTTTCTGCTGTTTTGTGCGTGCTTTATGATTGGTTAGTTAATTTAGTTTTATTTTCTGCAATTGTTTATCATGCCTTCATCCGTTAAACCTTTCACTAAATTACGCCTGAAACGGCAAATATTCCTGAATCATCTTGACTTTTTAATTAAGTGTAAATCTAAAAAATTGATCCCCAATTTCGTTCAAATCAAATTTAATCAAAAACATTCCAGTCGTGTTTCAAGAATTCTGTTAAACTACAAGCTTGCCTTACTTTGGTCCATTATAGGGGATACACGTCAACAATTGTCCAAAATTGAACATGAGCTCTATAAGCTTCATCTGGAACTCGCTAATTCATATCCAAAATTTACTGCCCTTGAACAAAAGTCTTGGTCTAGAATGGAGAATGCAGTTAACCGTCATAAAAACTCCCTTGCAGTTAAATTCGAAAAACTTCTTTTTACAGTCTTCCAGTTTCAAGTAGTTCAAAAAATCTTCCCATTGTAAACATTAAGCCAATAGTTAATATTTTTAATGTTAGTTTATCAGAAGAACAAGAGAAAATTCTAAAATATAATTTTAACTTCTCACAAACCTGTAAACCCTCGATTCCAAAGATTCCTGTCGAAAAAGCTTTCAAGTTGAGTAAAGTTTCAGATTCACAGAAAGAAATGAATAGGCATCTTATCGCACATAATGTGAAATTCAATAATAAACCTTTGAAACCAAATCTAACCGCGAGAGAAAGAGTTATAATGCGTGAAATTCATTCTAACCTGGATATTATCATTTCAAAGGCCGACAAAGGTGGCCAGATAGACATCATGGATAAGAACACTTACATCGATGGTGTCACTAAACTCTTAAAAGAAGGACCATATAATCCAATCCCTAAAGATCCTTCACCTTCGGAGCTGTCAAAAATAAAAACTGCGATCAAATCTTCACAAACCATTTCAAGCAACTTAAAACATTTGCTTATCCCATCTGTTGCGAATTGTGCCACATTATATGCTCTTCCCAAAATTCATAAAAATGGTATTCCTTTCCACCCTATTGTATCAAATTTAGGTACTGCCTCGTATCAATTAGCTAAATATTTAGTTTCTAGATTTTCAACTCTATTAGACAATAATATTTACACCATAAAAATTCAACTAAGTTTGTAAAATGGTTAAACACATTTCTCCTAGAAATTTACTCATGGTTTCTTTTGATGTAAAATCATTATTCACCAATGTTCCAGTGGAGGGTGCATTAAGATGTCTAGAAACCAGACTTCGCGAATTTCATTTCTCTTGCATCGAAATTGATGAGCTAATTTCTCTCACTCAAATCTGTTTGAAACAAACGCATTTTGTCTCTTCCAAAATAAATATTAAAAGCAAACTGGGGGATTAGCTATGGGAAGCCCCCTCAGTCCCATCCTGGCTCATATCTACATGCATTATTATGAATCAAAATTGTTTGAAACTTTAAACTTCCCGGTATGGTTCTGCTACATAGACAATACTTTTACCCTGTTTGAAGTAATAAAGACGATTTAAATAAAGTTCTTTCAACAATGAATTCTATTGATCCTGCTATTCAGTTCACTTTTGAACTTGAGACTTGCAATTCTCTTCCGTTTCTCGACATTCTGGTCACACGTAACACATTCAACTTCAGTATTACGGTTTACCATAAACCTTCATCGGTTCGCCTTCCACCACACATTCGACTAAATAAAAGTTAGCTTCATTTTATTCCTTAGTTTGCTCCTCCAAACTATCCCTTGATGAAGAACTAAATTATTTAAAAGCAATAGCTATTGACAGGGGCTTTTCACCCAACATTATTAATCAAGCAGTTAAAAAATTCTCATCTCAACACACTAAAAGGCACACTTTTGTTTTAGGAGATTATAAAAATTCTGTTGTCATTGCCTTTTTTCCATCAATTAGCTATAAAGCTGCACATATTTTGCAGAAATTTAACTTTTGGGTCATTTATTCTCTCATCAATAAAATTCTGAGTTCCATACTCAAGGAACCCATTCCGGATATGAATTCCTGGGGTACTTATAGGATTTCTTGCCAGTGTGGTTTAATTTGTATTGGCCAGACTAAGAGAGCCTTAAATTTCACATGAAGGAAACACAGAAGTCTTCTGTTGCCCAACATTGTTAGTCCGAAAATCACAATTTTTCTGCTGCCAAAATTCAGCTGCATGTGCATGCTAAAGATGAGCACAAAGTAATGAAAAACAGTGAAAGGTTGTGAGAAAGAAGGAAAGTCCATTATCTGGTCTGATATTACAAGTTAAGCTTATTTTACTCCAGTCATCCACTGTTACTTCCCCACTAGCCACCTTTTTTAACATTTCATCAAGATCTAGCCAGCAAGATCCATAGTGATAAAACCATACATTTTCTTCTATTAGCCACTGTTCAACAAGCAGTCACTAGAAAACACACACACACACACACACACAAAAAAAAAAAAAAAAAAAAAAAAAAGGCCAAAGTTCCTTTCACTGCCTTGTTGTTGCACATCTGACTATGTACTCTGGCTCTGGTACAAAAACTAAAAACTAACTGATTTTTCACTCAAAGTGGTCAAGAATGAAGGCTTCTGAACTCAAATGTGGATTATCTTTATGGTTTGAATTATTGTTAAACCCAAGCCTACAGATTGTTTACCTTTTGAGCAAGGGTATTTTAATTTTTTTTTAAATTATTATGTTGAGCATCGATAACATGGAACCTCCATTAATCAAAACTCAGATTCTAGAGTATATATATTGCAATTAAACAAAATGTACTGTATTCTTGTAAGCATGCTAATCAGATTTTGCAAGATAAAAAATAATGCTAAAAAAGTATGCAAAGATTCATATCAATTATACATATACATATTTCCATAAAATAAAGCTTTTTTTTTAGCTTAGCAAATTAAATATTAATGAACAACCACTAAAATAAAGCTAAAAAACAACTTACTTTTCCCAAAACCTTTTCAGCTTTCCCATGGCCATAAAATGGAGCAGTGTCAATATAATTTATACCACTTTTAACTGCTTCTAAAACAGTGTTAATTCCTTCCTGTTCTTCAGAAATTCCATAACATAAAGCCAATTCAGATCCACCTACATATTTATATCATACATAATGATATTTTCACCTACATATTTAAAAAACATACTAATGTATATTTTTAACTTGCTGCACAAAAATTACTTTTGCGATAACTTCAATTAACATACTTTTATTTGACCATTTACCTATATTAAATCTGGACTAAATTAACAGCGATATAAGCAATCAATAATGGTAAGATTCAAATGTTTAGAGGCTGCAAGCATAGAACATATACATATGTTACCCCCATTCTAATTCCTCAAACGAGTTAGGGCATTATTCTCCTCTGAGGAGAAATACAATTCAATTGCACTAAGTGCTTTCCACAATAAATCTGAAGATTCTGAGCATGGTTGGCAGTTTACCAAAAAATAACATTCATAAACGGTATGTAAACTTTAAATTCTGCATAGTCTGATGTAAACCTGCGAAATTTTATAGTAAGTTTGAACATAATAGATTAGTTTATAGCACTTTGTCTTGTTTGAAGCAGACTGATAGCCTTTCTATGTTTCTTTTCCAGTAATCCTTTCAGATTTCTTACAAATAATTTTTTCCTTGTTTCCTTTCTTTTTTCATATACAGGAAACACTCACATGGTGCAATATCAGAAATACTCAAAGTCCACCAGTGAGGTTTCATAAACTTATTTTTTTCATGCATGAGGAATTACAATGACATATTAATGTGCAAAATCTTAATGGAACAGATGTCCGCTTAGAGAGAATTTGCAGAGATCAGACTTTGGAACTGATTATAAAGTTTTTTATGAATTGCATTCTTGTTTGATTTTAGACCTAGCTGACTAAAATAAATTTCTGTTGCCTCATTCACAGAAATGCCCATCCAAACCACGATACCAATGATATGCAACCAAAATTGATGGAATTAAAATTTCTCCATTTTTAACTGAATGATAAACAGAATACTTGAATTTTGGCTTGAATAAGAAAGACAGATCCAAACCTTATTTACTGCCATGAATTTACATCACTTAATTTTTTTAGAGAAGTGTACAAAGGAGCATGAATGCTGCCTCTTCACTTTCACATATTATTATCACTCAGATATGATATTTATCACTCAGATATGATAATTAAGGTTTTAGAAGCCACCTTATCTTTAATTTATGCTTTATTTGAAAGCTTACTATTTGTTGATGTACTATTTTTTAACCATACTTTCACCTATAGCCAGATACAATTTTAATGATGCCTTTTGGAACTACAATAACATATATTTTATTAATTTGCTTTTCCATCCATTGTTGTCAAGATGCCAATTAGTTTACTTCAACAGAAATTTCAGATTCTTAATTTGACTGGTATATATTTCTTTTATAATTATTTTGAATTACTATATGGCTATAGTGAACTTTCAAAAATGCTTAGCTTGACCAATTAACATTCCATTAATTTTTTTTCAAAAGTGTAATACAATTTAAGAGCAAATTACTGTAACATATTGTAGTCAACATATTGCTCATCTAACCTATATATTGCACATCAGTAACAGTTTAAAGATTACAAGATCATTAAGCAACACTTATCATTTTTTGTTATCTTTACTGTAGTATTTGTACCTATTTTTACATCAGTCATTTGTATATACAGTCAAAAGTCTTTAATCCGGACTCGTCGGGACTTCGGCAATTCTGGATTATCGGTTTCCAGATTATAGATCATCAATTTAATCTGGTAAGATGGCATGCAGAAATTATAAAATTAAAAATATGAAACCGTAATTTATGAAATAAAGAACAATTATGATCTAAAAGGTATCAAAATTTACAACACACACACACACACACACACACACAAAAAAAAAAAAAAAAAAAAAGCTTAATATTTATTTGTTTACTTTATTAAACATTTCTTTCAACGCGCACATGCATAAAGCCTACATTACACATAGTCAAAATTAGAAAATTACAACCAGAAACTATTTGATGTGTATTCATGATATTAATAATGAAGAGGAATTTTACTTAAATCATATCAAAGAAGGAGTACATCGAGATATCGAGATGAAATACTAAATTTAGTAAGGAATTATAAGCCAAATAAAATAAAAACATCTGCCGTGAAGATAAGGATAGTGCTGACAGATCAACTCCCAGTTCATTGCGACCCCCCCCCAGAGCAGCGTGAAATTGATAAACAGATTTCGGAATGGTTAGAGAGACGAAGGATCTGCCTTTATTCATTTTTTGCAGCAATTCCACTTTTTGTTTGATGGACATCAAAACGTGCTTTCGCTTTGTAGATCCTTTGGCAGCTTCAGAATCAGAAATTCTTTTTGACATAATCGAAAGTTCATGCTTACTTCTATAAAATTGCTCTAACAGTCTGCAAAAAATAATAAGCCGGATCCAATTTGAAGATTAAAGAACAACGCAATCTGCAACATCAACTGAAATAGATAATTAGATAATTTTTTTAGCTTAGCTGATAACATCCGTTATACATTAAACGCGCATGCATAAACGTATTACGCGCATGCGTAAACGTATTATGCGCATGCATAAATGCACATGCACATGCGTAAATGCATAATGCGTTTATGCATGCGTAGAAAGTTTGTAGCTTTGAGGTCCAGATTATAGATCATTCCGGATTATGGACGTTCAGATTAAAGACTTTTGACCGTATTATATAACTGAATTTACTTGAAACTGAAGTGTGTTTGGCTGCTTGGCTGTATTCTGTACATAAGATATACATTGCACATACCAGCATTTTTCAAACTTTCTATATCAACCCTTTTTATAAATTAGAACGTTCAACAAACTACCTTACGATACCCTCCTTTTTTGAAAAATTTTCCAACCAGCATATTTATAAAATACAATTAATGAATACTCATTTAATTTCATATTGGTATTCAAATAATAGGAAAGTTTATACTTGTTTCTAATAATTCAAAGCTATTAAAATTTGGAAGTTTTCTCTATCTCATTGACTAAATATTAAATAAATATAGGTATTCACATTAATGAGATGGATGAACCTACCAATTCTTGCATAGTTGTTCTATGTTTGGATGTATACTAGTAAGAAGGATCACAGTCATAGGGCTTTAAAACGTTTCTTTTGGGGGGGGCTAAGAACTAGAATGGGAAGTAACCAGGTAGAGTAACTGGTAATAAATTTCATAAAATGTTAGTCTTGGGAGACAAAGTGATAGAAGAAGAAAAACCTACGTGCGTTTTCTGTAAAGAAAATCTTGTAAATAGTTACAGGGGATGTGCAGTATACAAATAAAAAATTCGAACAGAATGCCCCCCCCCCCAAAGAAACCTGCAGAATCCCAAAAGAAGCCAGAAGACTTTCCACAGCTCGCTAACACAGAAATTGATGAAGTCAAGAAAGCTTCCAGGCAACAGTACAGTGAGAAAGTTAAAAGGAAACCTTCAGAAATACCGAAAGAAGTTGAAGAAGCTATGTCTTGGTTACAAGACAAGAAAATAAGAAACTTCCTATGAAATATTATTGAATATCTAGAAAAAATATGCAAAGCAAAATCTGTGACTGAGAAACCTTCTGCAGGTTTTAAGGCTGCTATGCATCTAATGAAGTTTGCTGAAAAGGAGAATTAATTTCTTTTCTCCACCGAAACTGATGAAATTAACAAACTTTATCTCTCATCATGACCAAAAACTCAAGCAGCATCAACTAGGGTCAGTTTTCAGGAGTCAGTTCCCACGTGACCAGCCTGAATGTATCACAGTACCTTGCTCCCTTCTACCAGCACAGCCTCCTGATTAGCCAGCTCCTGATCCTGGCTTTCCACCTACAGTACAGTGAGAAACTTTAGTTTTCTTCTGACTACCGCCACTGCCACCAAAGGGCGGCACATTCACTAACTCTTTTGATTCTCTTTTCAGCCTCCTTATGATGTTTTCCTGCTGCAGGACCCACCTGATTTCCCTTCAACATCATGTTCCTTCGAGAGTTCTTTCAAGATACTGGGAAGTACTGTTTTATCCAGTAGAAGCCCAGTAAACCACCTTAGTATCTCAAAGTGATAGACGACTACCATATGTGATTTCCGAATTCTAAGATTTTCAGCTATAGTGTGGTATATACAATTAATCTATAGTGTGGTATATACAATTAATCTATAGTGTGGTATATACAATTAATCTATAGTGTGGTATATACAATTAATCTGAATTCTATTTTTCGCCTTTTCTGAAAATCCAGGAGGATCACAAAAACAGGCTTTGAGGCCACAAGTACAGTTTGAAATAACCCAGGCATATAACTTCATATAATAATACAAAAAAACATACTAAATCATTTTAGAAGTTTACCTAATCCCAACAAAGAGACTTGAAGTCCTGTTGAGCCAAATGACTTATAAATCATTTTACTTGATTTAACTTCATCATGGAATCCTTTTTTGTAGGTTACTGCAGGTCTAGAAGATACCATCCTAAGAAAATCAATGAAAAGAATTAAAAACAATCATACAATTAGTCAGAAATTTAAAAAAAAAAAAAAAAGTGTTTGTAGGTAAAATTCAGGAGCACAAGTGTTTATGCTACAAATAAAGGAAATTCATATGAATGCTTATTGAAGGTAATTAGCATATACAGTCAAAAGTCGTTAATCCGGACTCGTCGGGACTTCGGCAATTCCGGATTATCGATTTTTCTGGATTATAGATCATCAGTTTAAATCTGGTAAAATGGCATGCAGAAATTATAAAATTAAAAATATGAAACCGTAATTTACGAAATAAAGAACAATTATGATCTAAAGGGGTATCAAAATTTACAAAAAAAAAGCTTAATATTTATTTGTTTACTTTATTAAACATTTCTTTCAATGTAAGTTGTTTAAGTTGCTTCGTTTTTTATGTGATAATACATTCTCTTTAATTCTATAAACAGACATAATTTCTTGTTCAGTTACAAAGTTCCGCTGTTCAAGTCCTATAATTGCTCTGCCGAGAATACCGACTAATTTGTCAATCGAAATTTTTTCGTTTTCAATAACCTCTGTCACTTTCTTCGCTATCGGAAGCGAATTATAATGACGAGGCATTTGATTTAAATCATATCAAAGACGGAGTACATCGAGATGAAATACTACATTGAGTAAGCAATTATAAGGCAAATAAAATAAAAACATCTGCCCTTAAGATAAGGATAGTGCTAACAGATCAACTTCCAATTCATTGCACGCCGCTGCGGCGTTAAAGATAAACAAAGTTTAGATAAACAAACGTTAAAGTTTAGATAAATAAAGGATATGCCTTTATCCATTTTTTGCAGCAATTCCACTTTTTGTTTAATGGACTCCGAAAGTTACTTTCGCTTTGTATATCCTTTACATATTAGTAAATATATATTGGAAATTCTATTTGACATAATCAAAAGTTCAAGCTTACTTTTATAAAATTGCTCTAACAGTCTGCAAAAAATAATAATCCGGATCCAATTCGAAGATTAAGGAACAACGCAATCTGCAACATTAACTGAACTAGATAATTAGATAATTTTAGCTTAGCTTATCCCGTCCGTTATTCATTAAACGCGCATTCGTAAACGTATTTTGTGCACGTGCACACGCAAATTCGCAGCGGTAAAGGTCTTACGCGCATGCGTCAACGCGCATGCGCAGAAAGTTTGTAGCTTTGAGGTCCGGATTATAGATCATTCCGGATTATGAGTGTCCGAATTAACGACTTTTGACTGTATAGGGTTCTAATCTGCTATACTGTGCAAGTTCAATATAACAGAAACTACAGTCTTTAAAGTGTGGAGCTTTTGTAATATTTTAGCAATAATCTTGTAAGATTTATGTTAATTAACCATTTTTATGATTTGAATCTTCACTTCACCTTCTTCTTTCCATAGTCCTCACCAGAATGCAAATTAGTTGTCATGTATTTAAGCTAAGGTTTTGAATGCTTTAGAGCTTCTGGCAACCTTAGCTTGCAGTTATGTACTGTCCAGTACTGGTACTGATACTAAAGGTACTAGCAACAGAAACAGCTGCCCTGGGCACCACCAAGGATCTCCCCACCTGTGAAAACAAAAAATGTAAACTTTTCTCTATCTGACATATCTAATGCTTTTCTGTCTGAGTGTCACCCAGGTTCCAGTTTCTGGCACTCTGAGCTATAGCATTTCTTATTCTCCCCCCCCCCGATACCAACCTTTTACTTTAAATCTATAGAGAGAGATGGCAGCATCAAAATGCCCCTCCCCCTCAAAAGTTATTTGGCTATGAAGACAGAAAAAGATGTCTTCGAAAAGAAGCAGTGAAGAAACCCCAAAGGTATCAATATTTTTTAGTCTTAAGTCAAACAGTGGGAACAATGCAGGTGTAACTTCTTCAGCTACATATATCCAGATATGTCATTTAATGGTTGTAAGGTCAAAGCCACTAAAAATACTGTACTTTCTGAAGAAAATAAGAACTACATGCATGAATTAAAATATTAAGATCACAACTGAATGCAACTGAAAGATTAGTCTTCAGCAGGGATGGGCAAATACTTTTAATTACAGGCCAAAATGTGTTTCTCACTGTATCACACAGGCAAGGCCATCACAAGGTGGAATGGTGTTTGTACAATGATCTTGTATGATGTCCCTATTGTTTATCAGGAAGCAATCGAATAATCCGGACCACAAAGCTACAAACTTTCTGCGCATGCATCAACGCATTATGCCTTGACGCATGCGCGTCATAAACTTTAATAACCTGCCCCAGCATACCATTCTAAATTTTTTTTTAAAACTGTGTTAGTTTTTTGTCAAAATTACTTTCTGTAGCCATAATTTTTGCATTTTCAAATTCCTGAACTCTCAGTTTCTTACTCTCAGCATTTTTTATGTTGTTCTCAAATGATTTGAGGCCCCCCCCATGGATATCTCTTTAGTATTATTATTAAACTTCTTTATAACATTGTGTTCCCAGTACTAATTATAGTTATCTGTTATTTTTGTTACATCAAAACAGATGTTCTTAATTTAATTTGTGATTTCAAATTGGATTGAAACTGTAATGTAATCTCTTTATGTTCTAAATCATTATTTTTAATAAATACTGGGTGTGGGGTGTACAGTGGATTTGAATGATGTACCATTAATAGACTACCCCTCTAGATCTTTGGGAAAGCTTCGGTTGCTCAATCTCTCAATCTTTCTTTGTAAATTCTTATACAGCTTGCAGTTTTTTGTTTTTTGTTGGAGGGGGAGATAGTTGGTATGGGAAGGGATTACCAGTTAATCCATGATACATTACTCGTGTCTCCCATACTTTTATCTGTACCTAACTCCCTTCCCAGTAGAAATTTAGCAAAAACTACAATTTTAAATAGCATTTTATGAACTTATTTTCATTATTTTTATTTTAAATTAGTCCCAGTTGTACAGTCTAAACCTAGAGCAAGGATGTCAAACTCGTGGCCCACAACAAATATTTTTGCGGCCCGGCCAGTATATCGGCAAATAATAATATAGGTACTTTTCCGTTTTGCCGGCGCAAGCGATAAAGTCGCCAATAATGGTACAATACATGCCAAACGAAATATTCTCGCTGGTAACCTTTTACGCCTCATTTTCAAAACAAGTCGCAGCTTTTTCTTATCAGATTGATTGTTTCTTTCAATACTGGCATATCATTACATAGAATTTTTATCAGATAGTTCAGTTTTATGTTTAAGGCAATTTTCGGTAATTAAGTTAATTAGGATGCAATCACAGCACTTACCCGAAGCCGAAAAATATAGAAAGGTAAGTCAAGGGTTAAATTCATCATTCTAATGAGAATGCATTAGCGAAGTAAAGCACTGCAGTTTTACATAATTTTCTGAGTAAGCTATTCGTACGAATTGAAATATTTCTTGCATTTAAACTTGTGTTCCAAAAAATAAGATTTAACTTGAAGTTAATGTGGATAATTACTAAGAGCATTAGATTTTTGTAGAGTAGTTTACGTGAGATGAGATCGTTGGGGGTCACGTGATATGAACCAGCGAATCAGGATGTTGAACAATGAAAGCATAGTAAATTCTTAATGTCTTTTTTACAAATTTGTTGTCTTTATTATTGGCTTTTTATAAAATTTTAAGCGATATTAAAATGTTTATGCCTTCTTTTTAAAAAGAATTTCTTAGAATAACATTTTTTTAATATTTTTTATGTGTATACTGTATGTTGTCGCCAATAAAGTCTGCTTGGCGAGATTTGCGCCGGCGAAACGGAAAAGTACCATAATATATAATAATAAAATAACATATCGATGAAGAAAAAAATTAAATGTTTACTGCTAAGTAATTAACGATAATTTATTCAGTGTTGTTAGATTACTCACAGCCAGCTGACACACACACTACTTAAATTACATATGCGTGTGAGTAGCTTGCGTTCAGCTACCTTTGGCTTTTGGGGGACACGTGCACTCAGAACTTGTACGCATTCCCCGATAGCCGAACTCATGGTCTCAGTTTTCCAATCATAGTTTTGTAGGATATATTGGTGCATGCATGTGCATGCACTTTGCTTTATTATTAATTATTACTTAATTCATATTGTTACGGATTTCATAGTTATTTATTTATTTAGTTTTTTTATTTAGAATTGTAATTAGATTTGCTTCATGTTGCCTTAGCAATGCAGACGATTTTGAAAAAAGACAGCTGCGTTGGAAGGTTAAAAATAGAAAAGCGCGTGCATTTAATACCTAATAAATAAATATCTCGTAATTGCTGTTGCCATCCACAAAAATCCAGATATTTATAGATGTTTCCAGTATATTCGAGAAATTAATTATAAAGCTTATAAAAGCCGAGAACAAACAACTCATCTCAGTAGTAGCTGTAGTTCTAGCGAACTGTTTGTTTACTTAATGCTGTGATTGATTTGTAGCGATTTTACTGTGAGATAGAATTAGTTTCTCTGTTTTGAATTGATTTTTGCTAAACGTTTGACATTTTGTGATATTGTTAGAATATTTTTGAAGAAATACTTCAGCATTTTGATTTATCTCTTGTGGAAAGAATAAATTTTTGTTAACTTTTTAACGTTAACCGTGTTTATTCCAGCCCTTTGTATTCAGTATGTCTATATCAAAACCAAGTGGTAGTAAAATTAAACGAAAAATCGCTGACGAACTTAGAATACTCCAAGTAAAATTGGAATTAGAATATTTTTGCTGTGAAATAAAAGATAAAATAATCTGCTTGATATGTAATAATACTATTAATGTACCAAAGTTATATATATTAAACGTCATTATGAACAACATAAATCGAAATATAACAATTACGAAGGATTAATGAGAGAAGAAAAGTTGAAAGAGCTCAAGTTAGGAGTGAAAAAGCAACAGTCCATGTTTAGTAAGTATTGCAAGAAGTGAAGCAGCAGTACATGCAAGCTACGTCTTGTCAGAGTTGATAGCTAAACATTCGAGCCTTTT